CCCACCTGCGGGGCCGGTCAGCATCTCTTCCGCGGCGGGTGTTGAAGCTCGAAGCTGTTCGTCTGTCCCAGGGCCCCTTTTCTCTTTCAGCCGCCCTGTCTCCTCGACTCGGGGCCCCAGGAAGCACCGTTTGCCTGCGGGCTCACGCGGAAACCTCTCTAGAGAGCATCTTGCAGAACACCACGTTTCCCTTTGTTAAAGCAGCAGCAGCAATGAAAACCTGTTGTTGTTCAGGAAGCACCGCAGGACATCAGTTCAATTCTAGATGAGAGCTTGGGATCTTTGGTGTAAGACTGAGAGCAGGGGGTTATTCATTCCGTACTTACTCTGAAAAACTTTAAAATTGTAGAGATGTATCCACTAAGGATGTGTGTCTGTGTGCGTAATACGCACCCTAATTAACACAGTGATCCTACTACTACCTCTCTCTGTCTCTGTACGTGGCGATAGTGATGTAGGTGTTCCTCTCTCATCCTTGCCTGTAAGCGCACACCAGTGTCTGCAGTTCGTCCGGCCGTAGCAGGCGTCATGTGCATCCACACTTGGTATGAAGACAACCCCGGCTCAGTGCTGCCCTCGCGTGGGTCGGTCCCAGCACTGCAGCCACGAGGAGCGGTGCCGGGGAGGGGAGACAAACCCGCTGCTCGGTGCTGCCCCTCTGCGGTCCCGTCGGGGTATTGACGCAGCGGGTGAAGGCGGAGGCAAAGCCCTGCTCAGAGCCGCCCTCCTGTGGCCGCGCCGGGCATTGCGGCGGGGAGACTCGGGCCGGCACCTAAGCCAGCTCCCCGCTGCCCGCCTGGGGCTGGAGCGGGGCTTGGAGCCCGGAGATGAGGGCCCGGAACAAAGCCGGCTCCGTGCCGCCCTCCCTGCGCGGAGCAGCCGGTTTTTAAAGCCAGAGAAAAGAAAATCCTGCCCTGTGCTACTCCCTAGGGTTCAAACCGGGCTTTGCAGCCGAGAGATGAGGGCAGAGAGAGGAAGAAAAGCGGATCCGGACCGCGCACCTGTAGCTCAGGCAGCCGGGAGATAAGGGCAGAGACAGAAGAAGGGCCTCTCTCGGGCCGCCGCTAGAGCAGTGCCTGCGGCCGGGGCCGGGGCAGGCGGGGTGGCGCTGCTCGGGGCGGATACACGATCCGCGGACATTGACTCAGGCCGCGGAGCGCAGCACGGCCGGGATCGGAGACTCGTGTTCCCATTGGCCACCATGAGGCTTGAGGCGATTGGATGCAGTGGCTGCTTGGCGGGGTCATGGCCACTCCGCCCTTCTTCGCTCTGATTGGCCTCTGCCGATGGAGGCGGGACCAGGAGCGCGGCCTCCTTATTCACATTCTAATTGGCTGCCAGGAATGGCGGGTGTGTGGAGGCTTCTGTGTGCCCATTGGTCCGAATCCGATCCTCAGCAGCCCCGGTCAGCTGATTGTCCGCCCCCTAAGTCCGGAGGCGAAGTCCCGCTGCTGTCCCACACCCGGGCGGGCCCGGAGCGCTGCGGCAGGCTGCTCTGACGACCACGGCGGGTCGTGCGGGAGATTGCGTTCCCACGGTGCGGGGCCGGTCAGGATCTCTTCTGCGGTGGTGTTGAAGCTTGAAGTTGTTTTTCTGCCCCAGGGCCCCTTTCTGTCCTCCTCCCGCCTGGGGAGCCACCTTGTCTCCTCGATGTGATGGGAGGTGGTCTACGGAGGTGCAGGTGGGCCCGAAGAAGGACCGTTTGCTTCGGGGCTGACGCTGAAATCTCTCTAGCGAGCATCTTGCAAAGCATCAAATTTTCCTTTTTTAACGAGGAAAAAAATGAAAACTCGTTGTTGCTCAGGAAACACCGCTGGACATCAATTCAATTCTAGGATAGAATTTGGGATCCTTGGTGTAAAACAGTATAACATTGAGAAAGGGGTTGAAGTGACGGTGTTATTCATTCCGTCACTTACTTTGAAAAACTTAAATTTGTCTCTAGTGGGTTATGGAATAGAGAAAATCCCACACAATTTACTGATTTGTTTTGATGCACTGGCTGGGGGAGTAGTTAGCTGATTGCACGATTTCACAGTGATTACACACTTAATTCATACAACACAATTTTATTTTAAAACTCTTTGCTACGTATATAACGCTGCTCAGCTTTAAGAAACACCACGAACATTAAGAACACAATAACTACATATATCAGAAACAATGCTCCAAATGCACTTCCTTCCCAAACAACGCTATAAGAATTAGTATTACAAAAACAACTACAATTACAACTAAAAGTTAGATTTGAATCAATACTATTATTTTCATGATATACTTACAATCCTAGAATTCCGAGAAGCCAAATACCAAAATATGGTTTCATTCCTCAGTAGTACAATTTAATGGGTGGGCCTCAGTAGTACGGTTCAATGGGCTCGCCTCAGCAATACAATTCAATGGGCTGGCCTCAGTACTGATAGGACTAAGTCCCCTTCTTTCAGTCCCTTTCGGGCGCTCTGCAGCTTCAGTGTGAACTAAGAGATTCGTGTTCACGGAGAGGGTGGTTCAGGTGATCAGTCTGATCCGGCCTACACTTGCGATTCTTCCTTCGTTGTTCTGCAAGTGAAGTCACCTCCAAATTGGGACAGTAAGTTACAGTTTTCATTGAGTGAGCTGCCGTCAATGGGCTCCTCCTACTCAAACCTGTCATTACTCCCAAATTTGGGCTCGGATCTTACTCAACAGATTCTTTTGCTTAGTAATTAGTTTCTTTTTGTTGATCATTTTAATTATTCTAGGGAACTTCCATACCACTGCAAGTGACCTTTT